CCATTCATATTTTAACAAATTTTGGGCAAAGTCTTCTTTGTACGGGGAGCTCTACCCAAAACACAACCTGTACAATTATATTACAATTGACCACACCGGGTCCACATATGCATAACTATTGACCACACCGGGTCCATTTTTCCATCATAAAATAAACTTGCATTCATCATATGTCATATCCACACTATCATCCCAAATTAATAGGTCTAATCTTGGCCTTTACATCTCCAAAATGTAATAATATAACGCAGCGGAAATAACAGAAATGAACTAGAGTTCAAAAGGATATTCTAAGCATAATTTAGTCTAGAACAAAATAAAAGTGTCGCTCTAAGCGTCCACCTCGGGATCCACATCCCCGTCAAGCGGAGTCTTCCAATGGGTGGGCTCCTCGGCTCCTAACTCCTCCTCAAGTGTGAAATCTGAAAAAAATTTATTTGTAGGGGGTGAGCACGAAGCTCTGTAGCAAAATCCTCTCAACTCAAACAAGGTTTGAAAAACATAGCAAACGGTCGGTCTCATTTCACAACTAACATATATATAGGTTTGGAATAAAAACAGTGACATTTTAAAAGAGATTTCAAGTTTAAACAATAGCAATAATCAGTTAAAAGAATAAAGTGAGTTTAGCATCGATAAACAAAATTCTAATTTAAGCTATTTAAGAAGGGCTTCTCCCTAAGCATTGTCCCATACCAATGCGTCGGCAAGAACGACCCAACTCCCGATTCCATGTATTTTTGGTTCATCCCCGTACCATGTATGTTGATTGCTTCTCGTGAATCTACCTAACGATCATGCCTAGTCCACCAATTCCAACCAACAATCACAAATCTCTTTAAGAAGGGCGTGTACCGTCTCCTACGGCATTGACGAAATCCTCCCAAGGTGTCTAGTATACTAACCCTTTTCCTCGGTGTATATGTGAACAATAGTGATCGCGAGCACAACAACGATCCACTACGAGCATTAGGCAACCATCTCACCCCCCATTGGGATAGACTAACCTCTAACACTCTACGGCATCTCTCGAAGGTAATCCAAGTCCATCACAACAACCATACAATGAGGAAATCAAGAATATTCACAATTCACAACAATTTCTCAAATATAGTAAAATCCCCAATTTTGTTTTCACATTTGTCATATAATCGAATAATCCAAGAAAATATGCAATAGATCGTAATCTATATCATTTTGTTATACAATATTCAACACTAAAGTTTTAAAATCAAAGACAAAGAAGAAATTAGGAGAAAATTCCCTTCTCTTGAAAACTAGGGCTTTGAAGATAAAAAAAAAAATCAATAGAGCTTTGGTGGTTACCCACCCTTCATATTGTTCAAAACATGACATTTATTACAAATAGAACAAGAATCATGTATTTCATATTATATATGAGAAGAAGAGTGAAGAAACATATATATATATATATATATATATATATATATATATATATATATATATCTAGCCTCAATGTGAGAGATTGAGAGAAAATCCCCTACCTTAAATCTAGATTCCAAGCTTCAAGACCTTCTTGCTCTCCTTTCTTTTCCTCTTAATCTTCTCCTCCTAGGGTTTCAAAAAGATTTGGGTGAGAGGGTAGCAAGAATGGAAGAAAATGGGAGGAGAATGTATTCTTGAAGAATTTGAAGTTTTGATTTCTACAAGGTATAAATCCCTCTTGATTGGTATTTCTATCTTCCTCTCTTCCTCTAAAATGGTTCCTTGGGTTTGGAGGAGTGAAATGAATGCTAAAGGGACGACATTAGGTTTTTATAGGGCAAGAAAATCGAGCAAAACCCGATATTTTCTGTTCAGAAAAAATCGGGTTTCCTTCGTACTGTTTACAGATTTTTGGTGCGACTTCCAGATCATTTTTGACCCATTTAGAGGTCGAATTGGAACTTTTTCATGACATACACTTTTGTAGCCCTAGATGTCTACTATTTCCTGTCACAATTTCAGATCACTTGGACATCAAAATATAAAGTTATGATCAAAATACTAAGCAGTGTCTATCACATCTTTTTACCCAATTTCACTCCAATTTTGTTTTACTTCTAAAATACTTCCTAACTTCTAATACATCCCATATTACCTCTCCCAATGTTTTCCGACCTCCCGAATTCAATGGTAATGTTATTTTGATAAAAAAAATTAATATATTTATTTAGTTACCCTTATCAATCTTAAACACATCCAAAAAAAAAAATTAAATTTGACTCAAAAGTCAATCCGTTCGAAACTCAAACTTCATGATTAATATTTCAACAATGATTCTAAGTTTTTATCCTCATTTTATTCATATTTACAAAACTCTTAAGATATTAGTATTCTTATTTAATTTTAGTACATGGTCTTACAAAAACTGATGCCACTATATGGAGGCATTGTTTTAATAATACGGATGGACTGCTAATGATTGATCATTGCAGTCATATATTGCTGGATGTTATTCTTGATGTTCATTTTTTCCTTACTGGTTGCATTGTTTTTGTTTTCATTTAGGCTGTTTAGCTGGATAGGCCCTTTAGCTCTTAATATTTTTCATTGGTCGTGTCAATGAAGTTTCTGAACTCAGCCAATCCGTTTCTCTATGTTGATCTCTTTGTGTTTTATCATTCTAAATTTATGTTGATGACTCTTTGGATTGAGAGGGGATTGTAAACCAAAGACAAAGTTTTAGGTTGTATATTCTAGATGGAAACTACCATCAACTCAAGTATTCCAGTTGGGGACATTGTTTTTAGTTTACCTACTAAATTTTTTTCCAGCCCATCATTAGAGATCTGTTCATGCTGAACAGTCTCATCTTTGTGTTTGTATTAAAACGTCAATAAAACTCGTAGTGGTAATCTCAACTATTTTCTTTGTTTTGTCTTGCCCTTAAACAAAAAATTGCCACTAGGCAGTGTCACAGAACTTTCCATGTACAGGCTACATGAGAAAAAAAGGTATCCATCTTCAATGGAGGATAATTTCAATGAATTTCAAAACAAAATCATAGTGTTTTATTATACATCAAAAATCTTCAACATACAGATTTTTTGTGCTACCATCCATAAGTAATCATTGTGAATTATAATTTTGATTCATTATAGTCCATGTGTAACACACGTATGCATCAACTAGTACATGTAAGAGGGGCAATCAAGCCATTTTGTTTTTATGTTTGGTTGTGTTATGTACGTATCAATTTCAAATCGATACTTCGATATATATATATATCTCAATCTCATTAACTAGAGCAAAGTTTTCATTAGAGAGCATTTTGTTGCCTTTACAAAAGCCACTTTTTAATGAACAGTCATGTCCTTTAAACAAAATCCAGATCCTATAAATACCCTAGCCAATCCAAGCTTCTCTTCTTTCTTTTTTTTTTTGGGTTAATAAACTTGTATTGATTTCAAAAAGTAGTACATCAGTAAGCACTATAACAAGTAAAAATCCCTCATGGGGTACAAAAGAAATCTGGGACCTAAGCTTTACAACCAAAATCATGTACAAATGCAATATTCAGAAAGCAACCATTGTTGAGCTGTTTGTCTGTTTGATGTAGTATCCTTGATCTTGACGGACATTAGCCTTGATCTTTCAATGTTAATAATCACCTTCTGGATTCTAGTTTGATCTCTATACTCATTCTTGAATACTCTCTGATTCCTTTCTTTCCAAATGGAGTACACTGTGGCAGATAAACTCTCTGATTCATCTCTTTCCCAGCTTCTCCCCTTTTTTGAATCAAGAAGGCTTAGAATCAAAATCCAGATCCTATAAATCCTAAATGGCTTAGAATAAAGAATGTTTTCAAATTTATGGAGGTTGTTATTCATATTCTGTTGTAGTTCAGCTAGAAACACATCAATTTTTGGAGCATCTCAAAACTAAAAAGTAAAAGTAAGAGAAAGGAATTTCCGACATAAACGAGTATATAAGGTTTTCTCCTATAGTAGGATATAGGAACAATAAATATTAGGCAGACTTACTCCTACTTTAGAAATGATTTTCAAATCCGAACTCACAACGCATGACTGGCACGTACTATTGCAGGCTCATACTACACCTTATTGTCTGTTTTGTGGGACAAAATAATGATATTTCCATCTTTAATGATGGAAGAAATTTTTAGGCAATCAACATATCCTTTTCACTCAAATTTAAGGTAGATAACTTGAATGTAGTCAATGTACCTTAAAGATAGTAACATATCTTTTACATTTATGCTAACCATACGTAAATTTGAGGTAAAGAAAAGTGACACCACCAGCAACAACTAGGGTAAAGAAATGCGACACAATTGACACGTGGCTGTCACACATATTGGAAAGCATAGTAACTGCGTGCGACCATGGATTCAAAAAGGGGTATAACGTGAAGCAAACGCAGAAGCAAAGAAAGCAAGAAATAAGTAAAAGGTGTGCAGTTTGAAGATGTATTAATGGCGAAGATTGTGTGGTGGCAGAGGCAGATGCACATAATCAAGTGGGTGCAATAAAAATAGGTGGAGGTGTTGAGAGATGGGTAGGTCTGGGCGTTTAAATTTTAAAATGATTTTGAATATCCTTTGTGTGTTTCTTGATGTTGCAATTCCATAAGCACATATTTAAACAGTGATTGTAGATATAAATCCTAAGCATGCAATCATGATAATGATCTGAAGTGTTTGGGTGTGTGTGCGGAGGACGAATCTCCCAAATAATTAACTAAATGGGTGTGTGTGCGGAGCTTAATTAACATTCACCCACCTCCCTTTCTCAGCATTCATTCACACACACACACACAGAAAGAGAGAGAGAGAGAGAGAGAGAGAGAGAGAGAGAGAGAGAGAGAGAGAGAGAGAGGCAAGTCCTCATTACAGGTCATTTTCTTTCCTTCCATCTTTGTTGGCCTGTTTTGTGGTTATTAAGAGGTGTCTCTGATTTGGTTGTGGCCTCTGTTTTGCTTTTGTTAGTAATGGAGTTTTAGTTTCCTCAGTTTCTTTCTTGGCACTGAATGAGATGGAAATTGTTCGAAGGAAGAGAGGGTTTCAAGCTCTTCTCCCGCTTCTTCTATCTTTTTTCATTGTTGTTTTCCCCCAAAGATCTTTCGCCGTTTCGAGTTTAAACTATACAAAATATAGACAAGTAGGGAGTCTGAGACTTGCAAGGATACAGAGGTATTTGGATCAGATTAAGAAGCTTGCTGTCCTTACCATAGAGGTATGAGTTCATGTCAAATTTTTTTTTTTTTTGGGGTTCTTTGTCTATGTTTTGCCTGTGTTCCATATGGATTTTCCTTATTTTGGTGTTGTTTGCTTCATTTTCAGAGTCCAGATGGAGATATCATAGATTGTGTTCATAAAGGAAAACAACCAGGTTTAGATCACCCTCTTCTAAAGAATCACAAGATCCAGGTACATAATCCAGAACAAAGAGCAGAATTTGACCTCTCTCTCTCTCTCTCTCTCTCTCTCTCTCTCTCTCTCTCTAATATGGGTTCTAATTCAACAGAGAGTTCCACCAGAAAGGCCCAAGATGAGAATGATTAAAACAAATGAGGTAATAGTAACCAACAGGAACAGTGATGGATTTAGAGGTGCATGGCAAACGTGGCATCAGAATGGGCTACGGTGTCCCAAGGGAACGGTTCCAATTCGGAGGAGCACAGTGCATGATGTTTTGCGAGCCAGGTCTCTTTATGAGTTTGGCAAGAAGCAGCGTTCAATAGCGGTCGCTAGACGCAGAGATGCACCAGATATAATGAGTGGCAATGGCCATGAGGTATCTTCACCCTTTTCAATCCATTTATGATTTGTATTTGTATGAAATTTTGTGCCATTAAATATCAATCGGCATCATCAATGTCTTTTTTTTTTTTTTGGGGGGGGGGGGATAACGACTTAATTACCCGTATAATTATATAATAAATTTAAAAATACGTTCCAAAACTTCAAAAACCATACTTATAGTCTTTGTTTCCATATATCATCAGAATTGTCTTCCTCTTGGTTTTCTAAGTACTTGCCCAATTCCATTGTCACCCGCATGTCTAAGAAGCCTAATGAATGAAAACAAACAACCCACAAGCAAATCCTCTTCAGCTGTTATATGTGCCTGGTGACTTTAAAAAAAAGTGTTTTTTATACTTTTAATTTATCATAAGTACTTTCATAAAATAAAAATAGTGTTTAGGATGACTTATTAAAAATACTTTTGAAAAAACAAAAACTATTTTACCATTTAAATAAGCCAAAAAAATAAAATTTTTATTTATAAAAAATGTTGCATAATCTAAATAAAACTCAAAAATTAAAACACAAATATATATCATATCTTAAAAAACCTAAGTGGGTGAGCATAGGGTGAGGAAAGCCTCATTGCATCACGGGATTGGCCTTTTGGGATTTGCAATCTGTAATAATGGGTTTGGGGTAAGAGGATGTCGGTTATCCAAATCCAAGTTTATAAACTTGGGTTACCCAAATACAACAGTAAGTTTCCTTTTGAAAAACAACGGATAACCTTGTAATTGAAAGAAAATACACAAATATCCCAATTCCAAAATGAAATTTTTATGAGGTGCAAGGATAAACTTGGAAGGTGCTAGGTCATTTTAATAAGATTTTTTATGTATGATATTGTTTTGTGTATCATTGTATGTGTAGTATATATTTGTATATATGCATTCAATGATACTAATAATTGTGACACAGATAAATATTTTTTTTATAAAATATATTAATTTAAATATTTTTTATTTTAAATATTCAAATAATACTTATTTAATAAAAGTGTTTTTCTTATATAATACCTTTGATAAACACTTATTGAAACAGTAATTTTTGGATTTTAATCCAAATTATTCGGTGTGCATATATACATTTAGATTCGTACAAAAAATAGTATGTCTTAATCTTTCTATTATTACAACTAATAATTTGAGTTGCACATTTATAAAAGCACAACAATATGGTTGAAATTAATTCAATTTTCATCTAATTTCATGTAACGGTACAAAATTCGTTTAAAAAAAAATTTTCTAGCCCAAAAAGATCATTTTCTCAGCACCACCCTTGATATACAACAACCCAACTTACACGCCCTCTAATGTCAAATAACTCCATCTATCTCTCTCTTTTCTATTCTATCCCTCTATCTTATTATCTTTATGTTCACTCCAATTTTAAATTGCGTAATTAGAGAAAAAAAATAGATTACTACTTAAAATGCAAACATTACACAATCAATGTTGGATTCTGCTATTGCAGAATGTTTTTAAACACAGAGTTACAGTATAGTAGATAACGGAATTCTTGAAACATTATACTCCATCAATATAATAGTCATATACCAACTAATTATTCTTTTAAGGATACCATATAATGGATCAAAATGGGATTTGATTAGTAATTTTCAGGCCCCCAATATGTTAACTCTATTTCATTGTGTACTCATTCATTGTAGATATTTTTACCATTATTATCCGAAGGAGATAAACTTAGCTGCATAAATGGATATAAGTTAGATCATCTAAATTGCAATTTAGACAATTTCAATCATGTAACAATTATGTTGTATTCTATATAGTAGAACACTATAAAGCCACTAGTATGTCTAATTGATGAAGCTAATGGAGGATTAAATTTGATCAAAATTCTTTAAAATTGGAAATAAAGTGGAGCAAAACCAGAATCATGAAAAATTAATTAAAGAAAGAAGACTAATGGACTGCACATTCTCACGATTATAGCATGCGATAGCATACACTGGAACGACACAAGAGGTGTATGGAGCGAAGGCGACAATAAACGTGTGGGACCCTTCCATAGAAGTGGTCAACGAGTTCAGCCTCTCCCAGATTTGGATTCTTTCTGGATCATTCGACGGCTCAGATCTGAACAGCATAGAAGCTGGTTGGCAGGTACTCTTTCCAGTTCTGTCTCGAATAATGTTATTCAGCTGTAATTTAAGAATTGTTGTTATAATTCAACAGTTATATTAAATTAAGTTATTAAATTAAATCAACAGATTTAAATTCAAGTAGCATTATTTGTCTATCTTTGTCCATATAAGTATTCAAGACTCTATATACTAGTTATTATCTGTGTCGGAAGGTAGAGAATAATAAAAAATGATAAACAATTAACATATTCGTATTCATATTCAAAATCAAATTACAAACATAAAGAAGAGATAAATGAATTTAAGTATCGGTTATAAAGGGGTGAGAGGTGGTGGGCGACAGTGGTGGTGGTAGGAAGTGATGATTGTGGTGAGTGACAATGATTGTTGTGGCGATGGTGGTGGTGGTGGTGGTAGTGCTGGTGGTGGTGATAGGGTGGTGGTGGAGGTGACGGTTGTGGTGGTAGAGGTAGTGATGAGATGGTTTCAAACACTATTTTTTTAAAATATTTATGAGAAATAATTCGTAGAAATATTTTTTAAAAGTCACTCCAAACATATTATTCGGGCTTATTTTTTTATTAAATTTATGGTGTTAATATTAGCCGTTAGATTAACTTTAAAGTAAAATTTAAAGTGATCTGAACCACGAAAAGCAAAAGTTATTTTGTTTATATTTTGAAATTTAAATTGTAAGTTACTTTATTATATAGATTAGCATAAAATATATTGATTCCAAACAAGCATACTTCTATTATAAAATTAAAAGAGTTCATTTTCTGAAGCTTTGATACTTCCGCTAGTCAGGTTAGTCCGGAGCTTTACGGTGACAGCAGGCCTAGATTATTCACTTACTGGACGGTCAGATCTCTCTTCCTTGATTACCCACCTTCTTTTCTTTCGAATTTTTCAATTCCTTATACATATAAATATATACAAATGCATTGCATTTGGATCAAGAGATATCCATTGGAGCTAGGCTTATCAGTAGATTTAATTTAGCTGGAATTGTAGTAGAGTTGGCTATGAGATCCAAGTTAAATATCCAATTTAATATGATTCATCATGCTGCAATTTATTTTATTTTCACAGCTTATGTTAGAATCATTGAACAATTCAAAAATGCAATCAAAAAATTCGATTTGAAGAGCTCAATTAAGCTAAATTTTAAAAAGTTACATCTAATACTCAACTCAATTGTAGCAAATAATTACTCAAACTTATCATTTATTTGCATCCATATACACGCATATCCTAAGCAAAATGTGAGAACTAATAGAAACTAGACAGCCATTTTCATTGGACTTGTCATTCTCACTCGATGTTTCATTCTTCGGCTTGTTAGCCTCCTCTTTTTCTTCGTCATCATTTTTTTGACATAGTTATTTCATAGTGTTCAGGCTAAAAAAAATGCTTGGTTTAGCTTAATCGTGAAGGTAGCATGATTTTTACCCAAAAACGAAAAATCAATGAGGTGGTGAGAAGGGAAAGAGTGAACATGGCTTGTGTACTTCTTGTGAGTTCTAGGGGCTCATTAACCACAGAAAATGACAAGGGTGTGCCTTTTTGAATGGTTTTCCATGGCATGGGAAGGAGATGTGGTTCTTAATAATCAGTTTCCTCATTAACTCAAACTGACAAGTGACAGGGCAATCTCTTGGAGACCCAAAGAAAAAATTGTTGAAAATGTATTTATTTTCTTCTCAAGTATCTACGGGCCCAATTTGTTACATCTATAATACTATTAAAAATATTTTAACATGAAAATTTTTTGATTCTTTATTTTATCCTTATAAAAAATTATAAAGATCACTCTATCCTTTCACAATTAAATATCTAAATTATTTATTATCTCCTTATGTATTGAAATATGTAAATTATCTCTAACATATCTCTTAACTATCTATTCTGTTTATATAAATATCAATTTCTATGAAATTTTTTGATGCATTATTATATTTTCAATAAAATGTTCAAAAACTTTTCAAAGTTCATAAATGTAATATTACTCATTTCATGTGCAAAGATAATATTATCCACATATATTTTTATTTTTTTATTTTAAAATTTTAAACATTTTATTTCTAAGATAAAAAATAATTATTTTTTAAAATTAATTTATGCTATATCAATATAATTTTTTAGTTTACAATAAACTTTTTAAGTTGTATTAAGATTTTATGTGAAAATAGTTTGTAGCGTATTCTTAAGTAAAATTTGAATTTTTCAAAATTTTGATTAAAATATATATTATAGAGTATTATATTAAAGCTTATCCTAATTGACCTAACTAATTCTTAATTACAGTAAAGTGTCAATATGATTAATTAATTTATTGACAATTAATTTTATTTTATTCAAGAAATTATAAATGAAATCCTAATCGAATGAATTATAAATTAATATATAATTTTATTAAAATTTGACATTTAATTGTTTTTAATTTATATTAATTTTTTTCAAATTAATATGAAATTAATTTTTATTGTTATAAACTTAATATTGAAATTCATTTAATCAATTTTTTGGGTACTAAATTAAATTTTATTTGATTTTATTAAATTTTTAATTTTTTGGATATTAAATTTGGAGAAGGACAATTGTAAAAATAATAAAAAAAAAATTGGGATGAAATTATCAATTTATGTTGGCAGCATTAACAGATAGGGAGACAGGGGGTCTTCGTCCAATGAATTCAAACCACAGGTGGTTTTCTTGTTACTTATAAAATGTCAGGAGGTGTCTGTGTAATATTTTCAAAATTCAGGGCTGATCATAATTTTTATCCCTCTTTTTTAAATAAATGTTATTTTATTATTATTTTATCTTGAAAACTTGAGCAGTTATTTGTTAGAAGAGTTTATTGGTAAACAAAAAAAAAAAAAAACTTTGTGCGAGTGTGTTTATGTGTATATTTATATGTGAAAAATTGAAAATTTGGTAATTAAATTTATAATTATATTATGTCATTTAAGGTTAAATGGTGATAGTGGTGATAAATTAATGAGTTTTATAAATGAGCAAGATTCGATTGATATTATTTATCGCATAAAAATTGTGAATTTAATTATGTTCTATTAGTAATTTTTTTACTCGAGGTATTTATTACATGAGGATAGAGTGAATTTGAAATATGGTGAATGAGTTTATAATTATGTTGTATTATTGAATTGTGTTGTAGAAGAGATGACAAATTCGTAAATCTTATAAATGAGTAAGATTTTATTTATTGTAAATTTAAATGGGTTATGTTAGTATTTTTTTTTCTTAGAGGCATTTGTATATATGGTGTTATTTTGGGAAGTTTTATATATTTTTATAACAGTTCTATTAATATGAAGGATATGATCGACGATATATTTCAAGTTATTTTTTTAAAAAAATTTGGTATGAATATTTTTAAGTTATTCTTTTTAAATTTGGACAATTTTTAAAGAATTTTTGGTTTGCTGTATAATACCTTTAAGTACGGTTTATGACTAGTACTGATATATTATTTCAATTTTATGTATGAAAATTATTCACGTATAACGCAAGTGATGCATTTCTAGTTACCAACAAAAGTTGTCATCTGATGAGATTAAAAAATTTGGGATTAATCTTAAAACTAACATCCACAACATCAGGTCTTAACATGATAAGTTGGAGTCGTAAATTGATAAATATTAATTAGATTGGCATGGTACATTGGTACCAAGCGGCATTGAATTCTAGTAGTTTAGTTTGTTGCCAATAGCTCTTTCCCTCTCATCAGCATTTCAATTACAATTCTCTTTGGGGGAGATCTTGTTAAATTCTCTCTTTGATTTGGATGTCTAGTTTATATTGAATTTTCTTCTTCATTACTGAGACTTGAAGTCATTTTCATCACTTACCTCTCAACTTGAAGGCCCACCTAGCATTAAAATCTCTCGTGGAAGAACAAAGAACTATCGAAATAGATTATTTTCGAGGAGTCCTCTTTGTACATCGAATAAAATTAATTGGTGCACACGTGCGTTGCACGTGAACCATTTGAAGTTATAATTGTGAGTTTATTTTTGTAATTTAATTATTTAATCAAGGTATATGTAGTAAAACCAATATATATTATCAACATCTTTTTTTTTCCCCTGAGTAGAGTTGATTTCTTAGTTATATGATCTGACTTAAGTTTGATTTTCGATAGGAAATTAATCACATAGAGTTAAGCATTGTAGGAACTGTAATTTTTGTATTTTATTACTTAAAATACATGAATGATAAAACATTAGTACTGAGCAAAAATGAAAGGCTTAAAGAAGGCATAAATAGTAACCAAGATCAATCTAAGAAATCGAATACGCCAAAAATATAAAATTGAAGACAATCAAATACAGAAACAACAATTAGATAATATATGAAATGTTTGAAAATTCTACAAATGTAGACATCTACTTTACGACCACAAACAAAAAAAATAGAAAAAATATATAGTGACTACTCTCTTGCTCTCTTTGTGAAAATCAACACCATAGCCCCATCCTTCGGACCAACACATATGACCTAACATACTTTTTTGTATCACTAACAAAAAAACAATAAACTACATTTGAGAATTCTTCCACATAGCTCAGCAACATGACAATTGAGATTCTTTACGGTGTTGCAAGGAAAAAAAGATTTGTTACACTGTTGGACAATGAAACATTCTCTTTTAAAAATATTTCCTGTAACACATAAATATTACAGTTCGATAGACAACATTGAATCGGCTTTAATTGAGTCAACACTCCTGTTTGGAAGTGACCATTTGTTGCTCGCTATCAAAAATAGAGGAACTCAACAAGGCCACCACTTGACAATCAACAACCAAATAGCTATAAGAAGAAAATAAAAGATTGTCAACATTGGTGTTAGTTCATGTTTACGCTGACGAATCCATCGTCACACAATGCCTTGACATATAATGTATTCATTCTATGTTAGTTTATTTTTGGTCATACTCGAATCAATAAAGACAAGTTTCATTCAATCTAATTGCATAGAATGAAATTTTAATCTGGCATAGAATGAAACATCTCAAAATCAAACATAGAATGAAACATCTCAAAATCAGATAACTCTCGACATATGTGTTTCATTCAAGAAAGTACGCGTAGATAACAGTAGTCTCAGTCCATGTATTGTACCTTGTTGTGTGTAATTGATTTATTCTCTTTAACAATTCAACCTCAAATTGAAATTGGAATCACAGAAACATTTAATAGGTTTTCAAGGAATAATTTACCAAAAACATGAAAATTTTAGTGTGGTATCGATGGTCATAAGCAATCATTCACTGCATTGAGCATTTGACAACATATGTAGGATTGTTCAAAAAATAGAGAACAATGAAAAAATATTTGTAAATAGTTTGCATACCTTTGCCCATTCGTTCAATCATTCCATCTAAGCACCATTGTCTGATTCTCCCATTATGTCCCAAATCATATTCTTTGGCAAAATTCCATAATGATAAAATAAATTTCAAACAAAGATATACTTTGTACATCGTTACTAAGCTAGAACTAAGCTAGAATCATATCATGTATCATTCATAGAACTAATTTAATTAATCATTTAACAACATATAGAATGACACATATGGATTAGATTAGTGATTTTCAAACATTGATGATAAGAAATTCAAGTACCTTTTCTAGGTTTCTAATTTGTATTTTGAGATGTTTTCATAGCATTGGGGTAGAATATATTATCTCCTTTGACCAACAAAGTCAATTGGATCCTTGACATCATCATAGATCAATAGTGCATAGGATCTGTTGAAATAACACAAAAAATCAATAATAAATTAGGACCCATTATTCCTCTGTCAAAGAAAGCTACTAATTTACTAATTTTTAAGAGCACACTAAAAATAATAGCATTGCGTCATTGATAGGTAAAACAAGTGAAAGCTGCTCAGCAATGTCATTGTGAAGCTCAAACAATATTCAATAATAGATGATACATGATCATGTTTGATTTTAGTAGCGCATGAAAATTAAAGAGTAAAGAGGGTAGGATCAACCTCAAAATATGTCACAACAAAAAACATATACAAATCAAACGAAGGCGATTGAGGGCCAATGGAGGCATTATAACTAAAAGAACAAATACAAAACAATATCACGAAATTACAATAAAAAATTTAAGAAAGGAAAGGAGAATGGTAAAATAAGATTGACAACTTACTTCTAGCCAAACAAACCAATTCACATAAAAGAAGAAAGAAGTGTTAATAGTTGTTTGGATTTTACATTCTCTTTGACAATCCAGAGCCCTATTCGATATTAGAATAAATCTAGATCTTTATTTAACAAAATATGATTATATTTACGACATGACATTTAATATACCTCAAATTCCAAATGTTTATCATGCCATCTTTAGAACCTAATTACATCTAATTTCCAATACACCAGAAACCACTGTCGTAACACTATTTGTGTGTGGATATCACAGCTCATCACCTTCCATGGAGACAAAGAAATGATTAATCAGATAAATACAAAACTTGCTTGTATTTCTTTTGGTTTTTAAGGGAGGGAAGAAGGGGAGAGAAAAGGAGAACACAAAAGCAAGAGCAAAAAGAAAAACTTGATAAAGATGAACAGGATGAGGCCTATTCAGTTTGACATCAAATAACTGAACTCAAATGCCATCAACAAGAAGAATGCACATACCAAAACAATGATTGACCATATTGAATTTCTCCAATTAGAATGACTAAACCAAATAAACCTCATTCTTCCTCATTGGATTTGAATCCACGAACCTCTTTCCATCTCAGGAGTAGAATTTGTGTTCATGGACTAAGACCTTGATTTGATGTTCATCATTCAAGCACATTGTTGGGGAAAAAAAGTGACAGAACAAGATTTGAATGGGTAAATTAATGTGTTGGGGAGAGAGAGAGAGGACAGAGAAAAGGGTAAAGTAACGCACAAGAGAGAGGGAGAGAAATAGAAAAAGAAAGAGAGAGAGAAAGTTGAAGTGATGAATGTAAGGAATGTGCAGTGTGTCAATTTCGGTGGAAGCTCAACAGTCCACACAAGTCATAACTGTGAGAATTATATATATAATTTAAAATATTATTGACTACAGAAAGATAGGATAGCCAATAAGTAGTTTGTTAAGGTTATTTTGGTCAAATAAATATTTTTCACTTTTGTTGATATTTATAAGTATTATAGATTAAGGACATATTTGAAAACTTTATGGGATGACCCCCATTGCCTACCTAGCCTTCATTACTAAGAAAAAGAAAAACACACACACACACACAGACATATTTTCCTAGCATGCATACGTTCCTCGTAAAAGTGGGATAAAGTTTTAAGACATTTATTATTGTGTAATATATTTCAGAGTGACGCATATCAGACAACAGGATGCTACAACCTTTTATGTGCAGGATTTGTGCAAACAAATAGTAGTGTGGCCATCGGAGCTGCCATTTCTCCAGTGTCCTTACTCAACAACAATCAATATGATATCACCATCCTTATTTGGAAGGTCTATATATGTTTCATCTTTGAATTCAAAATTTTTTTGCAACATTGATGTTCTATAAATATGTCATTTGTGAATGGTAATATTATGTTCTTGTTTAAATCCAGGATCCAAAGCTTGGGAATTGGTGGATGGGTCTTGGAGATAACACATTGATAGGATATTGGCCAGCAGAGTTGTTCACACACCTAGCAGACCATGCCACCATGGTGGAGTGGGGTGGTGAGGTGGTGAACTCAAGGGCCAAAGGTGAGCACACATCAACCCAAATGGGCTCTGGCCATTTTGCCCAAGACGGGTTTGGAAAAACTAGTTACTTCCGTAACTTGGAGATTGTGGATTCTGATAATAGTCTTAGCTCAGTGCAAGACATATCGACCCTCACTGAAAACATAAATTGTTACAACATCGAGAGCTCCTACAACAGTGAATGGGGCACCCATTTTTACTACGGGGGACCAGGGAACAACCCTCAGTGTCCATGATGATTCTTTACCAGCCAAATTCTTCTTTTTTATTCAAAATTGTATGTATTATGTTGTGTCCACTCTTGTTTTGGCTAGTTCCCCATTTGTTTTTATATCCATGATGTGAGAAAGCGATGTATGTGTAAATAAGACTAAAGCATCAAACAAGTATGGAAATAGCAATATTCTACACAAGTAATTACTAGATTATTTTCTTGTTTTTGATTGCAAGTACAAGTTTATACATGCATAGCTTATTTGTGTTGAATGATCAAAAAATGTTGAGTTTTGTTTCACTTATGATTATTCCTAATGAATATCTCCAGTTGTTTGTGTTATTTCAAATATAATAAAATCTTTTATTGAAATGTCTAATTTGAAACATGTAATTTTGTAAGACTCCGTACAAGAATTAAATAAAAATAATATCATATTAATATTTCTCTTAGGATGAATAAAAGGATTGTAAAAACGTCAAATCATTGTTAAAAGATGATCATGGAGTTTGAGTTTAGGATGAATTAACTTTCGGGTCAAACTTAGTTTCAAAGGAGTATAAGCTTGAGAAGGGTGATTAGGTAAGTTTCTAAATAATTTTAGGGTAAAATAAGGTTTGCATTGGATCCGGAAGGTCGAAAAAACTTGGGAGAGGTAATATAAGATGTATTAGAAGTTAGAAAGTATTTAGGAGTTAAACTGCATTTTAGAAAGAATTCAGGTAGGAAGGAATTTGACATTACCTTAGTATTTTAGCCATAAATTTTTAATCTGAACTCTAATGGAGCTTAAATTTGGACATTAGAAACATGACTTCAAGGGCTACAAAAGTGTATTTCACGAATATTTCATGAATTGACTTCTAAGTAGGTGAAAACTGCTCCTGAAGTTGGGACAGAAAGTTGTCACCATCCGGACGCTCAAAGTACCGTCCAAACAGTACTCCTTACCCAAAAACTTTATTTTTCATAAAAAAAAAAGTGACTTTGAACCATCTGGAGGCCCAAGGACCGTTTGGACACTATGCTAAAAATGGTCCAACTCAGTTTTAGGATTTTTCTCTGTTTTGCACCCTATAAATACCATAAGGACATTCCTTTAGCCATGTTTGTTTAGTTTTCAACCCTAGGCAACCCAAGAGGGTGAGAGAGAAGGAGAAAACACAAGATACAAAAGGGACTCTCACATTGGAATGGATCAAACATGCTAGGTTTACACACAAACTACAGAATCAACGTAGGAGATTCTTATCAAGTTCTTTCATTGAGGCTTAGGGTATTGCATATATATGTTTTCAATCTTCTTTATCATTGAAACATAGTTTTGAACAAAATACATGCTTGGGTTCAAGAAACATTGTTCTTGAATTTCCAAAATCCTAGTTTTCTAAAAACATGTTTGATTATGAAAAATATATTGATTCTTGATTTCTAAATTCCTTTTCTTGATTAAATCATGTTTTTATTTAATATTTTGTTCTTGTTCCAATAAATTTTATTTTTGATAAAATCCTAGAATTTTGAATATCGAAATTATGAAGATTTTCTTAATATGATCTCTTGCATATTTTAATTCCTTTATTACTGTAATATATTGAGAATTTTGAAATTGTGATACTTGAATTGCAAATGAAAATTGTGATTGGTTAAGATTGTGGTGGTTGAGAATATTGTGGATTCATATTTTGTATGGTTTGTTGTGATGGACTTGAATTGCTTTCAAAAGCTGTCGTAGAATATTAGAGGTTAGTCTATCGTAGTGGGAGTGAGATGGTTGCCTAAAACTTGTAGTGGATTGTTATTTGTGAGAGTAACCACTATTATTCACTTAAGTTCGAGGCTAAGGGATGATATGCCTTTCCTTGAAAGGATTCGTCAATGCCGTGCGAGATAGTATATGCCCTTCCTAAAGTGGTTTGTGATTTGGTCCTGCAGGGAATGATTGAGATTGTGTGGTTGTGATGGGTGAACGAGGTAGAATCTTTGTGTAGATTCCTAAGAAGCAACCAACATACATGACAATGAGGATGAACTAACATACATGAGAATGTGGAATGATGTTACTGCGATATTCATTGATTGTGTTAATTTCTTGCAAGTTTATTCCTGTCATTTGATTTACTGTATTCCGTACACTTGAGATCATAACAACTATCATGGTTTTATTATCAAAATCTATATATGCTATTTTCTAAAAGAGACTTGCCATCTTTTATTATTGTAAACCTTATTGGAATTTGAGAGGAATTTCCTTTGGGCTTTTGCTCACCCCCTACAACACACTTATAGATTTTGGCTTAGAAGAGGATGTCAATGTGGATGAGCAGATTGATTACGAGCCGTTGTAGGATCAAAATGTGGATCCTACCTTAGAGGAATAGAGTTGTTATTTTTGGTTTAGAGTTTGAGAGATTTTTATGAAACAATATTTTAGCTAATTTTTATTAATCCGCTGCTAGATATTCTTGGTTTTGAATTGTCAGTTTGAGAAGTTTCAATGCTTTATTGGTTTTAGTATTTATTCCTTGTCAAATGGATGAATGGTTTATTACTTAATGATTATTTTAGCTCTCATGGTTGGATGGTTTGTAGATAGTAATGTGTTCTAGGGTGAATTTTGGGGTGTTACAGGTTTGGTATAAGAGCTTAGGAATTAGGTCTTACAAGAGAGTTGTAGGTTGTGGACTATTATTGGAGTATTAGGCTAGGTTGAATAAAAATCTAGGCTTGAATTGGTTTGAAGTTATATCTTTATAAGATAAGTGTGATTTGTTGTTTAGTTGGGTTATGGATTAATTATTTGTTCGAATTCATGGATTAGCTAGCTTAGAGGAGTTGACGAAAATTTTGGGATGTATATGCTAGTTTTATATCATGTCATTATGGACTATTTTTGGAGACGGAAGATAATTTGACTTTTGGTTAGTAAATGATGCTAGACATGAATCTTTTTGTAAGTGATATTATCTATATTGGAGATGGGTATGAGATAAGATTTGTGACAAAAGACACCCAAATTTGAATTGAATAACTGTAGCAAAACCATCAATCCAATAAACTAACTTTCACTAATTGGACCATAACTCTTTGTTTGAAACTCCAAATTGTGCACCGTTTCTTTTTTTGTTAGAAGCTTAACTCGTATATCTTTTCAATCATATAAGTCACACATGCTAGAAATACTTGAGTTAAAACAGTTTATTCTCCGAAGTTGATCAAAAATCTACATTGTGGTAATCCTTGGATAGCAAAGTATTGTGTTTTCTTCTTAGACTCTGAAGGACATTGTAACGCCCCAAAATCCACCTTGAAAGACATTACTATCTACAAACCATCCAACCATGAGAGCAACTAAAAATAACCATTAAGTAATAAACTGTTCATCAATTTGACAAGGAATAAATACTAAAGCCAATAAAACATTGAAACTTCTTCAACTTATAATTCAAAACCAAAAATATCTAGCAACAGAATAATTAAAACTAGGTAAAACATTGTTTAATAGAAATCTTTCAAATAAAATAATCCAAACTAAGGCGAAGCATCTCTAAGCCTCCACTTCAGGATCCTCATACTGACCCTCTCCATTCTCGAGGTCGACCTATTCATATAATTCTAGATTCTCTCAACACTAAAATCTAAAAAATATTATGGTAGAGTGAGCAAAAAAGCCTAGTAGAAAAACCTTCTCAAACCCAAACAAAGTTTATAAATCATGAAAACAGGTAAGTCACAATGTGTAAAATAATATATGTAATTTTGAAGTAAAATAGTGAAAGTTTATCAGATCTCAAGATTACGGTAGAGTTCATAATAGAATAGAATCATTCACAAAAATCACAACTCATAACATAATATCTCATGTATGCAGGTAGACTACCGTGAATCTACACACCGAACCTATCTCGTCCACCCACAAACATAAACCATCTCAAATCAATCCCCGCAGGGCCACAACACTTACAACACTTTAGGAAGGGCATGTACCGATGTATCAGCATTAACGTATCCTTTCCTAGGAATAGTGTACTGGCCCCCAGCCTCAAACTTACATGGACAAATAGTGGTTAGCTCTCACAAGAAACAAAACCCCCTACGAGTGTTAGGCAACCACCAAACCCCTCAAGATAGGAAAATCTATAACACTCTATGATACGTATTCGAGTGTAATTCATGTTCATCTCACCAATCAATACAAGAGATAAAAACAACACTTTTCATAAAATTCAATTACAATCAAGAATCATTGATCCATAACTTTTTTAAAAGAATAATTCAACAAAACATGCAAGAGATCCCACAGAAAATATATTTGAATTGATTGTAATCAAGAACTATGGTTTTGTAATCAAGAAAGAATAGATCTTGGAAATAAATCATGTATTTTGTTCAATAAATGAATTATGGATTCAAACGAATGTACAAGCATTGTAGATCAATATTTATATCATAATAAGGATGAAAAAGATATATTATATAACCCTAATCATCAATGAGTGAATCTGAGAAAGAACCCCTACCTTGATTCTTGAATCTTGATCCTAATGTGTTTTGTTGCGATTTCCCCACGTTAATCCTTCAAGATTTATCCCGTTCTTCTTCCTGTTTTTCTCCTCAAACTTTTCTAGGTTTCTTGGGATTGAAAAATAGGTAAAGACTCTTTATAGCTTCTATTGTTTTTCGACATTCTGGATTTAATGAAAACCTTATTTTGACCTCAAAATATTTATAAAATTACTTTGCCACCCTTCTCAAGTTTAAATATTTCCAAAACTTAATTTACTCTGAAAGTCAAATATGCTTGAAACTTAAATTTTATAATCAATATTTTAATAATTATTCTAAGTTTCTATCATTATTTTATTCATCTTAGGAGAACTCTTAAGATATTATTATCCTTATTTAAATTTTTTTTTTTTTTTAGTATGGGGTCTTACAGACATATCCTTAAGCGAACTTTCACACTATTTAGGCTTTGATTGAGAGACACCCCCATGCTGATTTAAGTGTTTTTGATGGATAACAATATAAAATGTGACTACGATTTGGTGCCTTGTTGACTCTAAGTATTTTATTCTATTATTAGTGTTGCTTATATTTTTAGAAGTAAAGGAGATATGTTAACCCAGTTTGGATGTGTGGAGGTAAGGTCAACTTAGATGTTTTTAAGA